ACCCTCAATTACGTTGGGCGTAAATACATGTATGTTGGGCGTACGCAACGTCATTGCATGCATATGTACTCGAGTGACGTCATTGCATGCGTAGCTGAGGCGGTTCACGGGTACGCTGGGCGTACTCGATTAAGCAAGCTTCAAACTTGCGTAACTTTCACATACAAGCTCCGTTTTCGACGTTCTTTATATCCACACGTAGATGAGACTATACTCTAAAACTTTTATTTAGATCACTAAGGCTAAATCTCGCTCTATCGTAAATTCACTATTTACATCGCGTTGTGTCGTATCGGTTCTGTCGAGAAACTTCGACATGTCATAACTTCTTCGTTATAACTCGGATTTCAACACTCTTTATATGTACGAAATCCTTGTAACATATAATACAATTCAGTTAAGATTATTACTTCAAAATAATCTTCCATCAAAAAATCATTTTTAACGCTTATTGTCCTTAAATTGACTAACCTTGATCTACGGGCGTTACACCAATCGATTTGATCACACTAATCAACATTCTAATATCCATGTCTTCAACTATGGCTAATATTTATATCTTCAACTAAGACTATATAATGATTCAATTCAGGATGATGGAAAGGAAGACTAATTTTATATTTGTTTAACAACCGGTTTTTCTTCTCACCAAAGATACAAACTCACTATAACAAATATACTTAGAAAATATGAAAGCGAATTCAGAAATATCTCCCCGTGGACATACGTATTTAAGATTTGTTTCTACAATTTTCCACTTCCTACCAGTTGCAACACAAACCAAATATTCATTCATTTTATTAGAGAGGTTTTAAAGAAATTTTCCAAAGAAATAACAACTAAAGTGATACTTTTTTGCAAAACTTTATATATAATAAAGTTATTTCGTAGTCAAACCCTATTAATCTCGTAGTCAAATAAAAAATATATATATATAAAATCGCAGTTGGAACGAGAGGAAATCAAAGATGAATTTAGTTCATTTGCAATTTTAGTCATAGATTGCAGGTATTTATACGGAAAAAAACATGTGAATGTACAAGTCACTAAAGCACAATTGTGCTTTAATGACTTGTACGTTTGTAGATGGCTTGCTAAAATTGCAGATAGGCTTAATGTTACGGCCCAAATTTGTTGTAACCGTGTTGGCCGATAAATGAAGACGTGTCATCTGGTTTGCCTGCTTGATCGCTCAAAGGGGGCGTCCTAGCCCTAAGTAGGTTGTTCTTGTCTACCTGTTGAATTCCTGTGATGGATCTGCCTCTCGGCAAGTCAAGTGATGTTGAGATATGGGTAGAGCCAGGGAGCCTTGGCGCTGGTCAAAGACATGACTTCGAAGGGGACCATTCGGGTTAGACAATAACTGGTCGGGGGCTAACGTCGTCTCCCTGATGAGCCCATGGTAGGGCGAAACCAATTGACACATGTACAAGGAAAGGTCGTTCACCAAGATAAAGATATATACATGGAGGACTCTAGACACCGCACGGACATCGATCCATATGTCGAGTCTCACATCCGTAGATATGCCACTAGCCTCTTGGAATGCTTGTCCCTTATCCGTTAGCAAGTGTCACATGCTCATTCCGAGTCCCATTTGACGACTTACTCGATCCTCATCAACAGGCCAGTCGAGTGTCATACAGGTCAAGCATTTGACCCCGTGACATTAATCTATTTGCGATTTTCAACCAATAAAACAATTTTAAAAATCAAATAGGATGTTTATATAAGAAAAATGAGGTGTCTTTTTAGTCAACCCCATAATAGATGGATAAGGACTTAGGAGGGTAATTAGGTTTCTAGTTTGTCTGTATTAGGTTACTAAGGTTTTTTTGTGCGTATTAGAGTAATATAGTTGTTATTACCGTTTAGAAATAATCATTTTTACCGGTTAAACATGAAGAAACCGGTAAAAATGACTATTTCTAAACGGTAATAACAACCATGTTGGTCTAAAAAAAAACCTTAGTCACCTAATACGAATAAACTGGAAACCTAATTACACTCCTAGGTCATTAACCCTAATTTTAAAGACATTTAAAATATATGACCATCAACAGCAAACTAGTTCGTTTAGAACTCGCGTCGTCCCATATCGACCAGAAGAAGAACCTGCTACTCCATTATATGGCGAAGCTCTTCATCTATAGTCGTCCCTTCGGGGACATCCGATAAAATTGGAACAATACAGAGAAGATTATCATGGCCCCTACGCAAGGATGACACACATAAAGCGAGAAATGGTCCAATTTTTTTTTAAACTCTTCGTCGTCTTCTCTGAAACCCTATTTCCCTTTTCAAATGCTAATATAGTTCAGTTGCAGTTCTTATATTTCAGTAGATGAACTACTAAAGTCATGATCAGACAACATGTGGATTCCATGGTCAGATTGGTCTTCTTATTGATGTCTTCAACCATTTGTGGCAAGTAAGGGTGATCTTTCTTTCTATAAAGTCTCCTTTAAGTTTTTTACTTTTCCTGTCATTAAGTTTCATGTTTTATAAACTTCCGTTTATGTGTTGTATATAGTCTGTATGTGTTTGTTTATGTGCTAATTTTTTTATTCATTTTGCAACTTCAGTTTTTTAGTTCATGTTGTGGTTTTTTTGTTTATAAAATAATTGATAGTAGGTATCCTTTGCAACTCCCTATTGATTTTACATTTTCATTTGTTATCAAATGTATACATTGATAGGAGGTATCAAAGTGAGATTGTTTTTGTACATATGGATGTGTTCATGTAAACATTTAAATGACAAAAAAGAAGTTATTGATAAAATGTTGCATATTTATGTAATGAAGATCATCAATCATATGAGTTTTTGGACTTGGAAATTCTGGAAGGGTTGTGTGATAAGTTTAAATAGAAACAACTATTTTCAGTCAAATAAGTCAGTCATATTGATTAGTAAGCATGTTTTCTAAATAATTAGGGTTAATGACTTAAGAGGGTAATTAGGTTTCTATTTTGTCCATATTAGGTTACTAAAGTTTTTTTTTTGTGCGTATTAGACCAATATGGTTGTTATTACCGTTTAGAAATAATCATTTTTACCGGTTAAACATGAAGAAACCGGTAAAAATGATTATTTTTGAACGCTAATAATAATCATATCGATCTAATATGCACAAAAAAAACCTTAATGATCTAATACGGATAAACTGAAAACCTAATTACACTCCTAAGTCATTATCCCCATAATAGATTGGACTATATTTATAATTTTCTCATTAAACTATGATAAAATTATTGCATCTATGATTCAAAGGATTGACTAAAAAAATCATATTCAACCCCTAACGTCGACTGATTTCGACAGAAACTCTATTATCAAATATTTTACGGGTCGTGAGTTTCTAGCCACACATAGAAGCGATAGAATATGAAAATATAGGGGTATATAGGTAATTTAACAAAAGCATCAAGATTTGTGTGTAAATCGAACAGATTCATTGAACCTGGACACCACCATTCTACGTCTATAAAAACAAACACCCCCATCATGGAAAGATGTGCCTCAACGGATTCAGTTAATTAACGCAAAATCTTTCTCTCTTTTAACCAAAACTAATGGCCCCGAGCATGGCGGATCCGTCGGTGAAAGACAACCGACCGCCGAAAATGGCGGCCCAGGAGGAGTTGTTGAGGAGGAGGAACGAGGAATTGGAAAGAGAGCTTAAGAGGAGCCTGGAAAGAGAGGAGAAGATGAAAATGGAGTTGCAGAAGACGTGGGAGAGGCTGCGCGTGGCGGAGGAAGCGGAGGAACATCTTTGTTCGCAGCTAGGAGAGCTTGAAGCCGAGGCCATGGATCAAGCGTGTGCGTACAGAGAGCGCCTGACGACGTTAATGGAACAGCTTTCGGCTGCTCAGAAGCTCATCGAATCGGCTTCCGTTCATATACCATCAATGGATTTGTAAAACGGAAAGGAGGTGAATGTTTTTGACTGGTGATTTTGTAAGAATATAGAGAATGTGACATGTATTAGTTATTGATGTAAATTAATCTGGAAAGGTGGTTAAACAACAAATATTGCATCTGTTTTGATTGTGCAAATTAATGTTTTTGATGAGATTGATTGTGAAGAACTTCCGTTTTTTTCCTCAGTTTTGTTGTTTTACGCAAGGTGGAATGACAAAAGACAAACAATTGGGTTGTTTATTCATTTCATATGCTCGATGCGAAAGATGTTAAAGAATGTAATCATGGCGCAAAGGAGGGATTATAGAATAAACCGAGAATATTCCCATTATCGACATTCAACAGTCCTTTCTTTCCTTGATATTAGATTAGAAAGAATATACAGTTATTCAGTTTTGTCGTTACACATATTTGTAAAAGAAAGAAACTTTTGAAACTTTTATTAAAATAAAGAAGCATCTTTCTTTCTTTTTATTTTTTTACAACAACGAAGACACAAGACAAGGCATACAAGATGAACATGTTTCTATGCAATTGGGATATTAATGTACTTTGCTAATTTACTGTTTCTATCATATTTAATTATTGAATGGAGTGTTTAAAGTTTTATGAGGACAGAGTTCTTCAGGTTTTTTTTTACTGTATCAATATCCGTTTCTTCAGGATGTTATTCACATGAATTTTTTTATATTCTGCAAGAAATAAAGAAATTACTTTAATTGAATTTCTTTTCGCCTTTTTCAGCTAAACACACGATAGTATTTCAAATCCTCAAACTTCCAAATGCATTGAATTCATATTTCCTTCATCAATTCCAATTCCTTTCAAAACAATATGTGAACCAAAAATCACCCCTATGTGATTGGAAAATAGTAACAACTTCTAAGATAGCCAACTTCTTTTGTCTTCAAAAAGTGAGATTAAAGTATAATTTTCTATTTAGACTATTAAATAAACTACCAACTTTTTTCTGGTTTTACTACACCTGCATGTAACTGTAACTAACTACCACTTGTGTCGAAAAGCAGACGACTTCTTTATCTCCTTCTCCCTACACACCAAAAACACATTCAAATGGCCAAATCTCAACATAACTATTATAAATCATACATAGATAAAAATAAAATATTATATCTCAACTACTATATACTCCAAAAAAAACATTAGTACCTTTCAATGTGATCAAGAATGAGGAGTCTTGGTCCAGGTGGAATCTTTGCATCTTGCAGAGCACTGATTCATATATATGATTCATAAGAAAAATATAACAAAAAAAAAAAAAAAAAAAAAGAGCTTGATAGTTGTCACATGCCTATCAGTGAGCAAAGGCAAAGTGCTATCTGTCAGCAAGCCTCTTTTAAAGTTCTTTTCATAACGCCCAAGACCAAGACTAGTCAACATGCCTCTCGTTTCATTATACAACAAATCTTCCGGACTTGGCTTTGTGATTTTCTCCCTTACCTGGACAACAACCACATACACGTAATGTGTCATATCAGAACAGAACGGGTTGTACTTTGTTTGATACGCATTATATCACCTGAAAGATTCCACCCTGCACAAGTGCAAAGAAAACACCAGAAGATATTGCATTTGAAGCCTGATTAGGACCCCCCATACCACTAACCAATGAGAACATCACACCAGAACCAAAACCTGCCGCCAAACTGCAATTATATACATACATGAATAAGATCTTAAACCAAAAACTTCATTTTTTTCTCGATTTTGACTAAAGAAACAGCCTGAAAACTTTAACCATGCATTAATGGATTCTACCTTGACTGGACATCCTCCTTGCCTCTTAATCTTCTTAAGACACATGATATGCCTGCATTAACACCCGACATAACAGCAAAATTACGAGCCTGTGCCAATGGCCCTCCTGCAACAGCCTGTACATACAGTTAGGGTTTAGGGTTTCTATTTCATATTTTCAACAAGCAAGTACGTTCTTTCCTATTCCATACACAGAAGTAAATCAGTAATCATAAATAAATGATTAATGTAAAAGGGTGTCTTACTTTTTCTTATCGAATTCCCCCATATCTTAAACCCTTAAAAATATGAAATTCAAATTAAGCAAATAAACTACTGAAGATCGGTAGATGGTGAAGGAATTATGTAACCTGGGATTGCCGGAAGGAGGCTTTAGTCTGTAGATTAAGGGAGGTGCTTGGTGGCGGAGGGGAAAAAGAGGAGGAGACATCGTTAGTAAGACCCATTAACCCACCGATCGCCGCACCTTGGAGGGCGCTAGTGACGGTGACAATGGCAGCCTCGACGGGTAAAGATTGTTTAGCAAGCCAAGTCTTGACGAGGGTCTCACATTCATTGTATTTGGTCTCTACGTGTTTAAGTGGGTTCCGGTCACCCATCACTAAAAACCCTTTCTTTTCTTCCCCCATGAATGTTTATTGTTTAATGTTCTCTGTTATGGAAAATTTTACGAGACGGGGATGATGGTTGATCGTTTTCCTTTTCTAGTTTTAGGTTAACTTGCAGGCGAATACAGAACATGGTCCAAGCATACAAAGCCATACGACGAAGCTATCAATAACTTATTTTTGTATTATTATATACATAATATAAATAATTAAAACACAACGGGCTTACGAATGCTACTTCCTAAGCCGATTGAAAATGGTCCTCTACACTCTGTCTTTCCTAAGCCGATTGAAAATGGTCCTCTACACTCTGTCTTCGACACACACCACGTGTTCTTCTCAGGTGTTCATTGAGATAGTGCTAGCCTTGTTGAAAATAACTGAAACCCAAATTACCTTCTGTTAGGAATAATCGGGTAATTGGGTTACCCGTTAATAAATCAGGTCGGTTATAAATAAGACTGTAAACAGAGGCGGAGGCAATAGAGGGCTGTCCGGATGCTTTGGCCCCTAATCCTTTTCCAAACTTTAGCTATATTATATTATAGATCAAATGAAATAATGATTAAACATTTATCCCATATCGCTTACTTTTTAATGTCCAGCACCTGCCGATTATTTTAAAAGAAAACGGTTATTATACATGATAAACAAAGATATAAAAGAATTATCTATAAAATAGTGGCCCACATCTAAATACCACTGCCTGCATCCCAATCTATTTTATTTTAGTTGAGCGTTGATTTATACGCCCAGTTTTTTTTTTTTTTTTTTCCTCTTTTTTTTAAAACGGTAAATTTAATCTACTCATAAACTACATCTTAAATTTATGTTAATTCTTTTAGTAGCTATTTGTTTATAATCCCATTTGTTCATAAAAAGAGTTTGTTTTGACGATTCATCAAGGCAATCCATATCAATTTTGTTCAAAGAGGCTAATTGGCAATTAAAAATCGTTTTCGGATGCTACATCGACATGATTTCAATACTAAGGTAAATTTTAATTCTTTTCTAAACCTTATTTTCTATTACTTGTCATTAATAATTTAATTATAATCATATAATCCCATTTGTTCATAAACAGAGTTTGTTTTGACGATTCATCAAGGCAATCCATATCAATTTTGTTCAAAGAGGCTAATTGGCAATTAAAAATCGTTTTTGGATGCTACATCGACATGATTTCAATACTAAGGTAAATTTTAATTCTTTTCTAAACCTTATTTTCTATTACTTGTCATTAATAATTTAATTATAATCATATAATCTCATTTATTCATAAATAGAGTTTGTTTTGACGATTCATCAAGGCAATCCATATCAATTTTGTTCAAAGAGGCTAATTGGCAATTAAAAATCGTTTTCGGATGCTACATCGACATGATTTCAATACTAAAGTAAATTTTAATTCTTTTCTAAACCTTATTTTCTATTACTTGTCATTAATAATTTAATTATAATCATATAATCTCATTTGTTCATAAATAGAGTTTGTTTTGACGATTCATCAAGGCAATCCATATCAATTTTGTTCAAAGAGGCTAATTGACAATTAAAAATCGTTTTCGGATGCTACATCGACATGATTTCAATACTAAGGTAAATTTTAATTCTTTTCTAAACCTTATTTTCTATTACTTGTCATTAATAATTTAATTATAATCATATAGCAAATTATGAGCACAAAAAGAACCATTGATTCGTATTTCAAACGAATTGAAGATGTGTGTGATCCAAAATTGCATCCGATTAGTGATAATACTAAAGAAGATGTTCATAATACACACTACAACCTAAAAAGAATGGTAACATGGAAGAGTCAAATAACATCAAGCCTGAAAAATATGATATGATAGATTTAAGAGAGGTAAACTTAGGAGTCGAGGCTTATAGTTATTTGAAAACTTTTGAACAATGAGGTTAATGGAAACAAAATATTCTTTGTGAAGTTCTCTTCTAAATTTTTCGCCATATTACTTTATTCAAGTATAAAATTATATTTTATATAATATTGCGATTTGAGACTCTCAGCCCCCCTTAATCTTAAATCTTAGCTCCACCCTTGGTTGTAAACGAACTGAAAGTTCAACGAACCGTTCATGAACCGTTCGGCGAGAAGTTCGTTTATGTTCGTTTATTTAATAAATGAACGAATATGAACACAAATTATCGTTCATTTAGTTAAACGAACAAATATGAACAATGGTCTCGTTTGTTCAATTATGTTCGTGAACGTTCGTTTATGTTGTTCATTTACGTTTGTTCATATAAGTTTCTTTTATATTCGTATATGTTTAATTGTGTTTAATTGCATTACTATATTATATGTTCATATATGTTTGTTTATCTTTGTTCGTTTATATTTGTTTGTTTATGTTCGTTTAACATATTCACGAACATAAACAAATGAACATGAACAATATAACTTGTCAAACGAGCGAACATGAACAAGAAAACTTGTTTGTTTATCTTTATTTGTTTATGTTTGTTTCTTTATGTTGTTTAGCATGTTCACGAATATAAACGAATGGACATGAACAATATAATTTGTCAAATGAGCGAACATGAACAATAAAACTCGCTTGTTTAACCATTCATATCCGTTCATTTGTTTGGTTAACTTAAACAAACGAACATGAACAAGCCCCGTTCGTGTTCGTTCGGTTCGTTTACAGCCCTAGGTATAAGTTATATATATTCTAAGGTGTAGGAAAATGTCTCCTCAAGGAGAAGGACATATTCTATTTATAGGAGACCATTAGGTCACGCCATGAGCCAACCTAATTCAGACCTAGCCAGTCAAGTGTTGGGATAAGCTGTCAGGAAGGGTTGCCAAGTGGAGCCGTCAAGCAGTGTTGGCTTGCTGGCCCACCAACTCGTTGGCTCATTGTCTCGCCGGCTAACTGGAGTGCTAGCTTGCTGGAAATCAAATCTAGCAAATAGACCTAATGTCATCATACATCATCTTCTAAATCGTCTTTGCTTTTTTGTTTTCCTTATGTTTTTTAGCTTTACTATAGCTCAAAAAGAGGTTTATTTTTGGTTTT